TCCCTAGGCATACTGGGTTTTACAAGAGATTCATTAAGAATTTCTCCAAAATCACCCAGCCTTTGTGTGTTTAAACTATTGCAAAAAAAAAAAAACTTTTGGATTCGATACATCCCACATAAAAGCATTTGATACGTTTAAGGAGACGTTAGTGACAGTACCAATCATGCAACCACCGAACTAGAAACTATTGTTTGAAATCATGTGCGGTGTCAATTAGGTTGTAGGTGTAGTCCTTAGACAAATACTAGGCACAAAACCACACACAATTTATTATGCCTCAAGAACTCTAGATAGTGCTCAAGTCAACTATTCGACAACTAAAAAATAGCTACTTACTATTGTGTTCACTTTGAAAATGTTCCGCTCCTATTTGTTAGGACTAAGCTCATTATATTTTCAGATCATGCAACGTTGAAATATCTATTAAAGAATAAGGAAGTCAAACCAAGACTAATCCGATGGATAATCCTACTGCGAGAATTCAAGTTATGAAGGCCCTCTCAAAAAGTACCATGTCACCCACTGAACCTCCACGGCTTACAATTCGCAAACCAGTGGTCAAGTAGAAATTTCTAACTAAGAGGTGAAGTTCATACTAGGGAAAACGGTCACTCCTAACAGAAAGGACTATAGCTTATGGCTAGAGGATGCTCTGTCAGTCCATAAAATGAACTACAAAATCCCCATCAAAATGTCACCATACTACCTAGTTTTCGACAAGGCTTGCCATCTTTCTGTGAGCTGAAACACAAGGCCTGTTGGGCAATTAAGAGCTGCAACATGAAGTTAGAAGAGGTAGGAGAACATAGGAAGCTATAGCTATAGGAACTAGAAGAGATAAGAAATGAGGCTTATGAAAATTCGTGAATCTATAAAGAGAAGACAAAATCCCTCCATGATCGAATGGTCGCCAGAAAGTAGTTTTCTATAAAACAGAAGGTCATACTCTATGATTCTTGGCTGAAGTTATTTCTCGAGAAACTATGTTCCAGGTGGTTAGGACTTTTTTTATTACCAACACATTTCCCCATAAAATAGTTGAGATCAAGAGTTTCGACATGCATAAAACATTCAAAGTAAATGGACACTGCATCAAACCCTTATATGAAGGATTTACAGCATAATAAGTTGAAGAGCTCATCATAGAGTTATCAAGAAATAAATAAAGATTAGATCAATTTCTCACCCCTACAAAACTTAGTTAAAACCATATCATATACATTGATATCTAATGTGCATGAAAATATCAAAAGCTCTTATATTAAAGAATCAACAACTATGAAATTGGTGAGAAACTAACTATATTGTAGTAGACAAAAAATAAAATTAACTTGATTGTTGACAATCTAAAAGTTGGAAGACAACATTTCGAGTGAAGCTGTCATAACATATTGAAAATCTAAGCTAGAAAAATACACATGGCTTATAGATTAAACCTTCAAAAATAATGAAAAGGCTTCTTAGAGCCCCGACTTACTGTGCTTTTCTTTTAGCGAAAGAAACCCTAAATTGATTTGCTCGTTAGAAAGTATCAATTCAAATAAATCCAAAGATTTCTAGAATTTAATATTCATATGAATTGAAAAAAATTAAAATTTAAATGCATAATGATTATAGCAAGAGTGAAGCCATACTAATGGAAGTAGGTAATGATGCATAGATTAGATCTTCACAATCATAAGAAGAACGCTTCATGTGTAGTCTCTCTTGCAACTCCTAGTTTAGTTAAGATATCTACCAATTAATTTGTTTCTAAAAAAGTATTGACAAAGTAGACTTG